GGGGAACCTTACAGAGTATGAGGACTTGGGTACACCTATTATTCACCTACAAGACAAATTAAGGGCTAGCATAGCTTGGAGGAGAGTGCTTGGGTAGCTCAGGAGCTGCTGGTGTCAATGACATCCAGTTAAGAATCCCCTTCAGTGTGAGAGAAACTGGAGCGTGCTTGACTGGATTAAACAAAATACAGGACTATGTAGCACTTTAAAGACTAACAAGATGGTTTAATAGATGATGAGCTTTCGTGGAGGAAGTGGGTCTGGCCCACGAAAGCTCATCATCTAATAAACCATCTTGTTAGTCTTTAAAGTGCTACATAGTCCTGTATTTTGTTTAATCCAGTCAAGCACGCTCCAGTTTCTCTCACACTGAAGGGAAGCAAGGTGCCACATAGTGTTGGCAGCCCTGAGAACCCTCCCAGGTAGGCACAACAATTCATCTGAATGCAAAGACTTGCATGGTTCTTGCAGTCACATCTGTCTCTTGTTCAGATGTGCAAACATCTTTTTGGAATCTATTTGGGCTGGGTTTTTTAAATTTTGAGATCATCAAAAAAAGTGTCTTTTTAATCTTAAAGTAATGGAATTAATCCTGCAACCATGTTTGAGTACCATGTATATTTATTTTACATAACTGTTTAACAAAGGGACACATTTATCTTCCATGAAAAGGCCAGATCATGTCCAGTTCAGGTAAATGAAGTAACTTGTGCATTTTAACACATATGTTCATAAATCTGTGGGGAGACTTCTAACCACTACATGGTGTTCAATGGTTTTCTGTCACTTAATGAAGCCTCGGTGATACCAGTGAAGCATGAAACTTAGGCCAGGATCATTGACATTTACAAACCTTCTTGGCACACTGAATTTGGACCAATTTATAGCTATTACTGTTAATAATAACAAATTATGTTTTTAATGGCCATAGTTTTGAATAGAAGTCATGTAAAGCTTATGTTGGCTGAGCCATAGAGTCTTATAACTACCTTCTGCCATAATTAATACTTCAATACAAACTGCAACATGAGTACATTTAAAAGAAAGGCACATACATATTAGGATAAATGCTTTCTTCAGATTTTGTTTGCATCCAATCCCACTGACGGAGGAGATATTCAGATTATTATGGTGTTGTTTAAACCCACTACAGACCCATAAAGCTAGTCAAGTACCACTGTGAAGATATGTTACCCTTTCTCAGCCAAATCTCGTAGTTGAGATCCAGACATATAAAAGTAATGGATTAGGCAAGCTTTGGCCCAAGGACTGTGCCTGGGATACAGAGAACAACAGTAAGTGCAAGATTGTCTGGTACAGCAATTCTCAAATTCTGGTTCCTGGCTCTTCAGTTGTCCAAGGAGCACTTGCTTATGTTCACATGGTGTTGGCTCATTTTTGTTTCCAACTGCTAAATCACATTTAAAGCTATCTTAACACATATGAAATGCTTTCCTAATAACATTTTTATATTTTAGCAATTGGCACAATTGCCACAGGAATGCTGACTAATCATGAAACTGAGGGTGAGAGGTTCACCCAGCCATGAATGGGGGATGGAGGATGGTTAGTGGTCAACCTCTTTGTTAATGTATGATTGAAACTTTTTATTAGACTGCAACTCACTAAGACTTAAGGTTCAGTGTTGCATGTTGTTACATAGCTTTTTTTGACATTTTAATTAGGGTTGTCAATTAAACACAGTTAATGCCTGCAATTAACTGAAAATAAAGCACACTAATTTTTACTATTATCATTATTATTATTAATAATAATCTCATATATCTGGGGTGAGGAGGGAGGTATCATCTACAGAATGATCTGATAGAGTCCAGTCAGGCAGAGTAACCCAAGCTGCCACCAGAGGGTGGGAAGAGAAGAAGAAGGTGGATCCCATAATTTAACATTTCATCAAATAATTTAGGAAAGTATGTGGTACGCTCTATATTGTTGTGCCCCCTCTAATTTTGATTATTATGTGCCAAAATGTATTGCAAATTTATCAGGACCTTTCCATGCTAAAAGAAGCCAAAAGACCTGCTATTTATTTCTGAGCATATTCTATTTTTCAAACAATGGTTCAAATAGCTTTCCCTCCAAAATTAGAATAAAATTCACATTTAGCAAATAATGAACTAGGATCCTACACTGAACCAACCCACGGGACCATTATTTCAAAGATTCAGGACTTGTATTCCTATTTAAAGAAACTTGAAAATTCTCCTGAGCAGGTATCTTTTTTCGAAACTTTTAAAAATTCATACGATAAGTACCTGAATCACCCAAAAAACCACCAAAACCCCACACTGCACAAAAATCTGAGAAAAGCTTCTGCAAAATGAACCCAGGAATGCTTTGTTTAAGTTTCATCTTCACTAAACAAAATCCTAGCGTGAATCCTTAATACTACCACTGGATGGCAGCAATGTAATCTAGATTGAAATAGGCATAAGTGACAAAAAATAGGGGGAACCTTTTCTCACCTTTTGAGACTCTCCACTAGATGACACTAGCAAAAACCAGATTGGAACAGTCAGTAGTGGAATTATGGAGAAAACAATTTTATCCTCACTGTTAAACCCACAGAGAGCAGCACCGTTAAGAAACTCTCATTATTGGCCATTTTCCTGGAAATTAGAGTACTTTTTGCTTTTTAGGCTTTCCGCCCACCAACCTCAATAATTTACAAAAATACAGCTCAACATTGTATGCAGTGCACTTTAAGCATATGTACTTGGGCTGGAAAAAAACAGATGAAAGCATCATTGTTTGTAAAGTGAATAATTATTTCATACTGTAATCCATTAACCTCTTAAAGTGCCTGGAAACACTTTCTCATAAGCTGACTGGATATTCTCTTTCAGACATAGAGACTGCCTATCCTAAAGCTTCAGTCTTCCAGGGGACTCAGCTAGTAGATGGTTGTCCCAACAGACCTACAAGAATAAGTTTTGTAGAGTAGACACTATGTCCATTCCTGATGTGTGCTACTGCCTCAAGGTTTTAAAAGATTGTCTATGCTTTAGGGAGACAAGGTGGGTGACGTAATATCCAATAAGAGTTATTAATTCTTCCTCCTTTTCACTAAGGCTATGTCTTGACTGCAGGGTTCTTTCAGAAGAACCTTTTTTCGGAAGAGATCTTCTGAAAAAACTTCTTCCAAAAGAGAACGTCCACACACAAAAGTGCATCGAAAAAGCGATGTGCTTTTTTGAAAGATAGTGTCCACATTGAATGGACGTTATCTCATATTTAAGCTGTGATTACTATGGATGGAGTTGCCACCAGGGCACCCGTGCTTTTTCCTCTTTTCTCTTCTTTCAAAAGAACTCCCTCTTTCCTGTCCACACACACCTTTTTCCGAAAGAGCTCTTTCAGAAAAAGGCTTCTTCCTCGTAGAAAGAGGATTACCAACTCCGGAAAAACCCTTCTGTTCTTTCGATTTACTTTCAGAATAACACAATTGCAGTGTAGACATAACTCAGGTTTTGTCAGAAAATAGCCGTTTTTCTGACAAAACTCTGTAGTGTAGACATACCCTAATATCCTGGGTCCAACATGGCTACAATTATACTGCATGCATAATGCCAAATGTTTGTCATTATTCAAGGGCCTTGGTTATCGCCCCATCTACACTATCAGATGGAAAGATGCTGTCATTGATTCAGAAGAGAAACCTGTTTTAACCAGGTCCTCAGGGTTGTTGCGGCAATAGTGTAGATGGGATTGAAGATTGCACCTGGAGCAGTTTATACCATCTAAAGTGTTTCCTTTAGTGACTGTTCCTATTGTCCAAATGTTAGAGTGTAGCACTATGCAGTCTGTCCCCATGTCATCTTGTTCCTGATCCACCTCAACACACTTCCTACCGGGAGGGGGGAAATACCTGGCACAAAGCCAGCTATTCAGCCTTAGTGCCATGGGGAGATTCCCTTTTGGCAGACCAATCCTCAGCCGTCCTTTTCAGACCCCTTTGCTTCCTCTTTGTGCTGCTGGAGAACCGTACAGAGGGCATGGCCTGGGGCAGGGATTTGGCCCTATGAGCACACAGAACACTTCATGAAATGAATATAACTAATTTATGTGCTACTCCTCCCAGTGTGCATGTGTAGTAGGTTGTGATGCAATATTTGTCAACCTCGCTTGTATGTTCATTATCCTGAATAATTCAAAGACAGTCAACGTGTTTGAACTCTCTTAACACTTCCAGGTGTTCCCTTTGTTTGGGAATGACCACATCATGTACACCGAATTCATTCTTTAACCCCTTCAGTGTGAATCTGCTTTGCACCATCCGTGCTAGAACTTAAGCTTCTGTAATATGGCATCTAACAAAATATAGACACTGTTGCTTTAACAGGTGACTGCGTGAGGGATGTGACCCAGTAGTGAAGTAGTAAATTGGGACCTTGTGTATGGTAACAATAATCATGGAAGCTTAAGATCCTATGTGGGTTTTTTTTTAAGTGTAGTGAATAACCCCAACATCTAGGACAGCTCTGTTATAACTACTGAATGCTCTGTGGCTGCAGCAATTTGTTCTCTGATACAAGTCATCACTAGTATTTAATGTATTTCTTTGTAAAACACATTGAAATACCATGAATACTACATTGTCATACTTATGATATAACAACTGGGGAGGTGAAATGTGGGGTTGTGCATAGTATGTGGACAAGTATAGTAGCAAATATTTCTATGAACTAGCCACATGCACTATGTGAGATCAGAAACTGCCCCAAGTCACTGTTCAGAAGAATAAGTCATCAAACGAGCATCTTATTAGTAGTGCTGTGAATTACACAGATAACACAAAGCAGGCACTGTTATACTCGGTGTATTTTATCTCTGTCATGGTCCAATTCTCTATGCTGACCAGGGATTTTGTAAAATTTAGATCTCAGATAAATTGCATTCATGACAACTTTGAAAATCAGATAAAATCAGGGCAGGAAATCATTTTCATAAAAACATTTATTGGAAAACCACTGTGGATTTAGTTGTGTCAGGTAAATAATATGCTAATGGTAACTATTGAGATCAAGACGCAGACAGTGAATACCACAAGCAGGATGATTAGGCAGCATTTGGAATGTTTCTTTTCTCTCTCTTTCTTTTTCAGCAAGGTGTCATACCCAGGAGTATAAATATCTCCCATCCAAAACTGTAGATCATTAGGGTTTTCCTAAAAGAAAGACCAGAAAATGAACTCAGCTCCTCTGTATTGTACAGAAAGTCACCAAAACATAGCTAGGCAGGAGTATTAATGAATTTACAGTTCAATTTTTTTTAAATGACACTTGAACCCTACAATGCTGTCCCACAGAGGACTAACAAGACCATAGTTTTCAGCCAGGAACCTAGTTGTAGGACACCAGCCACTTAAATGTGATAGAGAATCAGAAGAAATCACCTGATATTCTCATGATGATACAGAGGTCCTGGTTTACAAATGCTGATCTGAGTCACATTTCAGCAAGGAAAACAGTAAAAAAAAATCTCTAAAATACATGTTTACTACCCCACAAGCAGAGGAATAGGGATGGCAGGGATGTGGTTATCAGAAGTTACATTATTTGAAAAAGTACATTGGAGGCATACTTTATCTGTGTAGGTTCTTATATGACCACCATCAACATGATCTCTTAGGGCTGCATAGCTTAGCTGCTGGGGTGTCTAACTCTTGGGTACCACCTAATGGAATCCATAGCCCTGAATGAGGAGAGGGAGGCATCTGAGAATGGAATTACAGAAGCCATCAAGGAGCACCTGAATTAGTCACCAGGAACTGCTGAGGAAAGAGGCAGGACTTAGGCCAGTGACACAGAGTGGATGAGTCTGTAGCCCAGGGATTAGGGCACTTGTATGAAAAACCTGGGTTCCATGGCCTGCTCCAATGACTATTTAAGTATTTTATGAAAAATGGAACAAGCTTCAACAGGCAATACTGAAACATTCCTCCTCCCTCCCCCTCAAAACACGTGGTTCAAGTCTCTGCTCCAAATCAGCCAGAGAAATCAGCTGGAGTCCTACAACTAGGTTCCTGGATGAAAACTATGGTCTTCACTCCTAGGTCTCCTCTGTCAGTGGTAAGGTTTCTGGAGACCACCTCGACTCAGCTATCTTTTTTATATGCAAAAGCTTGCTCTAAGGATGCCTACCAGATCAAAACCAGCAGACAGGTGAGGCCAGAGGAATGCCTAATGGGAGCTCAGAGCCAAGCAAATTAGCAGCAGCAGGACGTAGGCAGGTGTGTGCACGAGCACTGGCAAACATTTAGGCACTTAGGGGACTTTTCCACTTGAAACACAAGTGCCAAGTGACTTTAGATACCTACAGGATTAGGCAGCAGCTAGGCAAAGCTTTTGAGGATTTCAGTAGTGGCTCAATATTGGATTTAGCACCCAGAAAAAGGGAGTTAGGCAGATAAATCCCACTGTGGATCTAGCCTCTACTACCTCACAAATGTGAATTTTCCCCCACATACCCTGTAAGAGACAGGAAAATATTATTATATCCATTTTAAAGATGGAAAAAAAGAAGCACAGAAACATTAAGGGACTTGCTACAGGTGACAGAGGACATCAGTGGCATAGCCAGGATTGAACTACAATTATCAGTGTCTTAAACCATACTACTACACAATCCTACCTCTCTCATGATTGGATCCATGCTGCTATAGGGTCCTTACAAAAACAAATATTCAGATTTACTTCTGAAACGAGACTCACAAGCCAATAAGCACAGCATTTCATTCCACGGTTCAAGTGTAAATACAATGCATTTGTTCAGGTATGAGTCTGCAGTACAATACCTTCAAGTAGTTAGCCAAGTTAGAATGCAGTGAATGCTTGTCATAGTCTTGAACAGTCCAGGAAGGGATTTTTTTCCTCTTTTCTCTTTCATCATCAGTTAGGGTGTCAGTGAACAAGGGATTGCGCTTGATGGTGGATTTCAGGGTGACAGTTGTTATGTGTTTACCAAGAGCTTTGTCAATCATTGCTGGGGTAACCCCACTCTCTTCTAAGCCAGGATGCTCAAAGACATTTCTTTTTTCACTCTGCAGAATAGAACAAAAGTGATTATCAGCCTCATTCTTCTCATGACACAGATGCCCTTACACTGTGCAGTAGAACTAACTTTTAAAATAACAACTGCACATTCTTTATGTTCTGGTCTAGAAAGAGAGAAGGAAGCTGATTCTCCTTCTTGTTCAGCCTTTCTCCTTGTGTGGAGTGAGGACCTGTGCACAGTGAGTGTCTAATGCCCTGCTGTCAGTATGAAGCAGCATGGTTAATGCCTGCTCGAAGAGAAGTCTGTCATAGAAAACAAGTGTGATGAAATAACTACTATAAGAATTGGGTTTAGAATTACAGTTCTGATGAAGACAAAGGAAATATATGATGTGGAAGCACAGTTGTGAGGACAAGAGTGCTTTAGAGATGGACGCCAAAAACATTGGGATGCAATTTGGCTTCCCTCCTGGCTTCCCTCCTGCCTCATTCTCCACAGAAACAAAATGAGCCCTTTTATTTTAAGCTCTCTCCGCTATTTCCAACTATTTCTACAAATATTCCTGTGTAACAGTCTGTTTACATCCTCACCATGATTTTTTTTTAAGTCTGTTCTTCAGGACTTGAGATGCACATGGCAGAGAGAAAGAAGAGTCAGGGCAAAACTGGGAGGCAAGGTCAAATCAGTATCTTAAATGCCTATATACAAATGTGAGAAGTATGGGTAAAAAGCAGGAAGAATTGGAAGTGCTAATAAATAAGTACAATTATGACTTTGTTGGCATCACAGAAACTTGGAGGGATAATACACACGATTGAAATGTTTGTATGGAAGGGTACAGCTTGCTCAGGAAGGATAGACGGGAAAAAGGGAGGAGGTGTTGCCTTATATATTAAAAATGAACACACTTGGAGTGAGGTGGAGATGGACATAAGTGACGGAAGTATTGAGAGTCTCTGGGTTAGGCTAAAAGGGATTAAAAACGAGGGTGATGTCATGCTAGGAGTCTACTACAGGCCACCTACCTAGGTGGAAGAAGTGGATGAGGCTTTTTTTAAACAACTAACAATATCATCCAAAGCCCAAGATTTGGTGGTGATGGGGGACTTCAACTATCCAGATATATGTTGGGAAACTCAGGTAGTGTTAACCTGTGATTTTGTAGGAAAGAACCAGAGTTCTCTGAGATGCTCCATGGGTGCAGTTTAACTGATGATCAAGATATTTGTGCCCATCCATCAGACTGGTTGAGAATTTGAAAGTGGAAGGCAGCTTGGGTGAAAGAGATCATGAAATCATAGAGTTCACAATTCTAAGGAAGGGTAGAAGGGAGAACAGCAAAATAGAGACAATGGATTTCAGAAAGGCGGATTTTGGTAAGCTGAGAGAGCTGATAGGTAAGATCCTCTGGGAATCAAGACTGAGAGGAAAAACAACTGAGGAGAGTTGGCAGTTTTTCAAAAGGACATTGTTAACGGCCCAAAAGCAAGCTATTCCGCTGCATCAGAAAGATAGAAAATATGGCAAAAGACCACGTTAGCTTAACCACGAGATCTTGCATGATCTAAAAATAAAAAAGTAGTCATAAAAAATGGAAAGTAGGACAAATTACAACAGATGAATATAGGCAAACAACACAGGAATGCAGGAGCAAGATTAGCAAGGCAAAAGCACAAAATTAGCTCAAACTAGCTATGGGAATAAAGGAAAACAAGAAGACTTTTTATAAATACATTAGAAGCAAGAGGAAGACCAAGGACAGGGTAGGCCCACTGGTCAGTGAGGAGGGAGAAACAGTAACAGGAAACATGGAAATGGAAGAGATGCTTAATGACTACTTCGTTTCGATCTTCACCGAGAAGTCTGAAGGAATGCCTAACATAGTGAATGCTAATAGGAAGGGGATAGGTTTAGAAGATAAAATAAAAAAAGAACAAGTTAAAAATCACCTAGAAAAGTTAGATGCCTGCAAGTCACCAGGGCCTGACGAAATACATCCTAGAATACTCAAGGAGCTGACAGAGGAGGTATCTGAGCCTCTAGCTATCATCTTTGGAAAATCATGGGAGACAGGAGAGATTCCAGAAGACTGGAAAAGGGCAAATATAGTGCCCATTTATAAAAAGGGAATCAAGAACAACCCAGGAAACTACAGACCAGTTAGTTGAACTTTTGTGCCAGGGAAGATAATGGAGCAAATAATTAAGGAAATCAGCTGTAAACACTTGGAAGGTTGCAAGGTTATAGGGAACAGCCAACATGGATTTGTAAAGAATAAATCATGTCAAACCAATCTGATAGCTTTCTATGATAGGATAACGAGTCTTGTGGATAAGGGAGAAGCGGTGGATGTGGTATACCTAGACTTTAGTAAGGCGTTTGATACGGTCTCGCGTGATATTCTTATCAATAACAAGGCAAATACAACTTAGATGGAGCTATTATAAGGTGGGTGCATCAGAGAGTAGTTATTAATGGTTCACAATCCTGCTGGAAAGGTATAACAAGTGGAGTTCCACAGGGGTCTGTTTTGGGACCAGATCTGTTCAATATCTTCATCAATGATTTAGATATTGGCATAGAAAGAATGCTTATTAAGTATGCTTATTATGATGATACCAAGCTGAGAGGGGTTGCGACTGTTCTGGAGGATAGGGTCATAATTCAAAATGATCTGGACAAATTGGAGAAATGATCCGAGGTAAACAGGATGAAGTTTAATAAAGAAAAATGCAAAGTGCTCCGCTTAGGAAGGAACAATCAGTTTCACGCATACAGAATGGGAAGCGACTGTCTAGGAAAGAGTACGGCAGAAAGGGATCTAGGGGTTATAGTGGACCACAAGCTGAATATGAGTCAGCAGTGTGATGCTGTTACAAAAAAAGCAAACATGATTCTGGAATGCATTAACAGGTGTGTTGTGAGCAAGACATGAGAAGTAATTCTTTTGCTCTACTCTGTGCTGGTTTGGCCTCAGTTGGAGTACTGTGTCCAGTTCTGGGCACCACATTTCAAGAAAGATGTGGAGAAATTGGAGAGGGTCCAGAGAAGAGCAACAAGAATGATTAAAGTTCTAGAGAACATGACCTATGAAGGAAGGCTGAAAGAATTGGGTTTGTTTAGTATAGAAAAGAGAAGATTGGGAGGGGAAATGAGAGCCATTATCAGGTATCTAAAAGGGTGTCATAAGGAGGAGGGAGAAAACTTGTTCATCTTGGCCTCTGATGACAGAACGAGAAGCAATGGGCTTAAACTGCAGCAAGGGAGGTTTAGGTTGGACATTAGGAAAAAGTTCCTAACTGTCAGGGTAGTCAAACACTGGAATAAATTGCCCAGGGAGATTGTAGAATCCCCATCTCTGGAGTTATTTAAGAGTAGGTTAGATAAATGTCTATCAGAGATGGTCTTGACAGTATTTGGTCCTGCAATGAGGGCAGGGGACTGGACTCGATGTCCTCTCAAGGTCCCTTCCAGTCCTAGTATTCTATGATTCTAAGTTCTTTACCAATGTTTCCATGTAACTAGGCTCACCTAGCCCTGACTTCCTTCCTACCTCTTTATCAGCCTTGAGTTGAACGGGTAATTGACTGCTTATCCCAGCCAATCTAAATAGTCTGACTGTTTAATTCCCTCCACCAGCTTTGTTAAGAGGAACTAATTAACATCTGAGCAATCTAAAAGCCCCATATTAGGCTGGGGTAGATTTCTGCTGGTGCAAGCACTGTAGAAGCCCAAAGCTCTCCAAGAGCTAGCAGAGCTGTAAGCTGTTGATATTGTGTAGGCCAATAATCACTAAGGGATAAGAAAATCTCAGTATGCTGTTACTGGAAACCCGAACAGCACCATTTCAGCTCACCGCAATTCCCTTTCCACTGCTACTTTGAATTAAATGAATTCTTGCAGCCCTGGAAGACACATTTATGATACATTCATCACATCCCTCAAATAAATTCCTTGCTGTCCTAAAGCAGTCCCAGAATTGCTCTTACAGCATATGTGCAGTACAAATGGAACTATCCTGGTTAGAAAATAACATTTCTCTCCTAGTTTCTTAACAGTTCTTTGGACTATGAACTTCGATTTGAGACAGCTGAAGTGTGAGCCCGGATTGGAGACTGCATAATAGGGAGCATTGGAAATGAGTTAAAATTAAATCTTAAAACAGATGAATTTTAAAAAAAAACCTCAGAGAAGTGATCAAAACAGATTACCAAATACTCCCCCTCACCTTCACAAAAGGTCTAAGCAGTTTTAAAGTTCATTTGCCCAAAATAGATTTCAGAGGCAAGCAAAACATGACATCTTTTTCCAACCTTCTGAGGGATAAATAAAGAGATTTAATATATACTAATTACCCATTCATCATTGCGGGAAATGAGAAACATTATTCTGACAATCTTATTCTCCCATGTACTAAGAATTAAGCATGGCAGAGTGACAAGATACCGTCTATAGTGTGCATGCAAGGTATGATATAGATCGTGTCTATGATCATCATGCTCTGGTTTTAGAGAGCAAGGGATCCCCAATTACTCCAGCCCCTGCGTTAGCTCACTGCAGTTACCATATGTCAGTAATTAACTTTCACATAATTCCCATATCACTGTTACAGCTGGCACTAGAGACTGGCTTCTGCTGGCCTGTTGTTAGTTATGCTGGCATTTCAAATTGTCATTTCTTGCTGCCTGTATTTTACTTTGTTTCTTATTTAAAATTCTTCAGTTACTTTCATGATGCTTCCTGCAGGCTTGCTAGATGGATAAACTTGAAGAACATAACATAAGATTTATAATGGCCAACTGGGTCAGACCAATGGTCCATCTAGCCCACTCTCCTGTCTTCTGACAGCAGCTGGTGCCAGGTGCTTCAGAAGGAGTGAACAAAATAGAGTGAGTGTTGAGTGATCCATCCTTTGTTGTTCAGTCCTAGTTTCTGACAGAGTATTAGGGAACCCCAGAGTATGGGATTGTGTCACCTTCCACCGATAGATAAATTCCCAGTCTTTTTTGAACCAGTTACAATTTTGGTTTTCACAACATCCCAGCA